TTTAGGATTCCTGCAATGCATTATACAAATCTGCCAGGTTTTCTCTCAAAGTTCTTGTTGTTTTGTGAATCCCATTAGAATTTTTATACATGTAAGTAAGCAGCACAGATGTATCATATTGTGTCATTGTAAAAGATTGTCACAACATGGTCTTTAAAGAAAATCAATGCGAGTGTAAGAATTTCTTTTAACAGACATCACTCACTTGTTGGTGCTGAAGAGTTAATTAAAAGTGACCTTGAATGCTACATAATGAGTATAGCTCCTTATGAGTATAAGAGAACAGAGTGGAGCTTCTACTGAACATTTAAACCAAAAAGCCTTCCAGCAAGAGGCCAGCAGAGACCAGATCAAAGGTGCCAGTCACTGTCATTAAAAAACCAATGCCAGGTCAACAGAAATGACAGTTTTTAATAGGTAATCTGTTCATTTTATGACTATTGAGTCTGTAAAGTAATTGAAAAGGCATGTCAATCAAAAGACCATACCTTTTAACCAGAAGAGCGTCTCATGTCAGTTCCCAGGCCAATTACATACTATGGAGGAGAAGCAAGCACTTTTTGACAGGATGATTTGAAACCAGACAGGCCTATTGACACTAAGTATAAATATGCTTCAAAATAAGGACTGATGATGGTGAGTGGAATGGACAATACTTACTGATCAAGTGTGACACATAAGGAGAGCACCTTACAAAATAATATGTATCTATAAACTCTCATTAACAATAATAAAAACTCTTTTAAACTATCTACTTAAGAATTTGTTAAAAAACTCATTAAATAAGAACTCTCATTCTCTCGGGTTTTCATGATATGGAACAGGAAAAACTAAACAAAGGCAAAGTCAAACATACTGTACTTGGTATTGCTGACTTTAAAAAAATTAATGTATCACTTAAGAGTTCAGGATAGATATTGCTTGTTTACCATTTTAAGCATCTTAAAGAATCAGGGAAATGATTAACCTGCTACTGTCTCGTGCTTGTAAAAGTCAGGTTTAGCCACGATGCAGGTTGTGTGCATCAACAGATTTGTCACCTTAGTCTCTAATTCTCAAAACATATGCTTATGTGGGCTTTGTCATCCTGCCAAGAAAATAACCTTAATTTTCAACCCATGGAAAGGCCACCAACAGAGCTGTTTTGCAGTGTTAATTTGGATTGAGGAGTGCAGACTGTTTCAAGATTAACTCTACAAAGACCACCAGCACACATTTCATTAAATAACTCATCCAAGAGACCTAATCATGTTCAGGCTGGGGATTCAGTGTTAAATAATGCCAGTCAATAGATATGATGGGTTTTCTGTTGCTGCATCAACATTTTACGAGACCCTGGAGTCATAAATTCTTCTTGAGCTGAATTATCAATATGAATTTTAATAACAGTGAAGTCTAAGGGTGATATTTTTTATTTGGCTGAGGCTTTTGTCCAAAGATACTGGTACAGTATTTGCAATAATTTACAGTCTACGGAGGATATTTTACTGGAGAAGTTCATATGAAGTACCTTGCTCAAGGGTACAACAGCGAAGTCTCATCTGGGATTTGAACCTGCATCATTCTAGTAATGAGTTTGGAAGTTTAAAAAAATCATTTTCTTTCATTTTGCTTTATATCCAAGAACAGATTTTCTGGTATGAATAATTTATTCTTGAGGAGCACTCTCAAAGGATCTGAGCATGGGACTCTACGTTAGGTTATATTTAAGTTGTATTTACAGTACATTAAGGTATCTACTGTAGATAAGTGCATAAGGTTTATAATGTCTTATAGGCACATCTTGGTGCTTTACCACCAAATAACACAAGTAAAACATGAGCAAGATGTATGCTGTTGAATATATGTCTCTTGCTTCCTTTAAGACAATCAGCAGTTTGAGGTTGAAGGAAATGTGACCATGCTGCTATTACAAGAAAGAGATGGCTCTACAGCTCATGCATTCACACATATTTTTAACATCTACAGTGAAAATGAGTCAAGTGGGCCTGAGGAATTCATTTTGTTTTCTTTCTTTGAAAGGAAGAACTTTTAAACGGGCTTAGCAGAGTTAAAAGTCAGCCATGCAGACCAAAATTAAAGTGTTAAATGTCATGCCAAAAGAAATATCCCCTTTTGTGTGTATTGTAAAATAAAACTAACAGACATTACTCAACAGATCCTCTTCTCAGATGTGTGGCCCCAGCCCATGAAGTGTCAGAATTATGTTTGTTCGACTTCACAGTTAGATGGAAGTTTGTTGCAATTTAAGCCTTTTGTTACAATTAATGCCTTTCAACTCCCGGAGCAGACGTGGAAACGGTACTGAAGTAGTGAATATGAGAGAGAGAGAAAGAACTGCTGTTGGTTTAAATACCACATCAAAGCTTTCAAAAGCAAATTTGTGGAACAGGTGCTTTTAGCGACCCTGCACCGTATCTTATTTTCAAATCACAGGCTTCAGCAACAACAGCTCGTCTCTGATATTTTCTAGAGAAAGAGTTCTGTTCTCACATTCATCCCAATCAGGTGGTCCTCTGTGTGCTTTTCATGCAATCCTTTTGTTGTCCCAAGTCCTGGCATCTTTGATCATTAAGGACTCTGTAATCTCCCACCATCTTTCAGTCATCTCGTTTCAACTCTCCTGCTTTTATTTACTCCTGTTCTTGAACCCCAGGCATGGGAGGGGGGGAGTTATTGACTTACATCTCCAGTGATACAAGGAACTTGATATCTTAGGAAGGAACCCTCTCAGTTCCTGGAAAAAAGCCGGTGCTAATCCTCTGTCATGTTGTACTTAAGCATATTACTTTATTGTATGTGTCACTGCTTTACAAGTGTTCCAAATAAGAACAAAAAAGCTAAGTTAGAATTTTGGCTCTCAAACTGCCCATGAAATTTCATTGACGAGGAAAATTGCTTTGTCAATGCCCCATATTTAAACTTAACATTTCCACTTTAAAGTCTTAGGTTCATGGTTTGTTTAACTGTGTGTTATATGCATGCATATGTACTCTTTCTGTATATACACACATATGCTTATTGTCTCCCATAGATTGTTTGGCCCACAGGACTGTAGATGAAATTGCTCTATTTACAAGATGTGTGGCAAGGTGAAAGGTGCAACAGCTAACAGATCTCAGTTTCCCAAATGGATTAGTGAAACTCCAGTGATTTTGAAGTCAGTCTTAATTAGAGAATAGGACCTAGAGGCTTTGACCCTACCAGAAGCCTAAGTTGAAGGCCAAGAGTTTGTGTGCAGAGTAATGTAACCCACATGTTCTTGCAGGAAGCAGCTGCCACTCTCTCCCAGCTCCCCCTACTACACACCCCCACCCCTGATGCCAAACATACACTCACACTTTATTTAGCCCAGTAAAACACATTGCTGTGAATATTATCCAGGAAAAGCCTGGAGCCTTTAGCCCTGAAGATGAAGACGATCAGTCAAGGAAACTGTGACCATGTTAAAGGCAGACACCTTTAGTAATGAAATCTCTGATCAAAGAATTGTGCCAGATCCGCTCAGCCCCCATCCCCCAGCACACACTCTTTCTTAAGGACTATAAAATTACACTGGCCAGCAGGATGTGGCAACTGTACAGCCCAGGCGTGAGAAAGCAGAGACCAAATGCGTCAGTGAAGGAGTGAATAAACACTATGGCATTCAATAAACCCAGAGGGCAGTCACGGGCCACCATGTTGTTTGTAAGGCAATATCTTTAATGGCCGCAGATAAACAAGCACATTGAGTGAGAATACAAGCACACCACTTCCTTCTCTTCTGTTTGGCCTACTTAATCTCCTAATTCCCTAACACCAACCCTTGATATTGGGTTATTGTAATTAAGTGAAAGCAGTGAGCTGCTGCTTGAAGCCATCATTGGTTCAAGATACATTCAGATAATAAGGAGGGCAAATATCACTGCCAGTTCCTCTGCTGTGCCAAAAACCAAACAATCCTTTCAAACCAAAAGATCGCCAGTAGCTTTCACACAGGCTTGCAGCAGCTGAGAAAGAGATTGTCTCACAGTGGTGGTTTTCCCACATTACGAACAGCAAGCTGACAGTTCTGCCACACTCACCACAGGAAAGGGGGGCTGCATATGGATTTTTTCTGATTCAAAGAGGAGCAAATGGCCTGGCACACCTTAATACTGCTGGCAGTCAAGGGGGATTAAAGTATTGGTATTCAGCAGAGCTGAACCTGTCAGCAAATGAGATGCCGTTTGGACTGAATCAAGAATACATTGCGTTTCACTTTGTGCTTATCCAAAAATCCCTAGAGAACAAGGAAGTCTACATTAAGTGATCACAGCCACTGTTACAGAGTTTGTGTCATTTCCCATGGTTCACTTACAATGACTTTCACCAAATGCTGTCTTTTTGAAGATCTAGGAATTCACTGCCCAAGGCGTACAGGGATCGCCTTGTCAGAAATCACAAAGAGCTCAGAGCTCTTGGTTTAAATATCAAACAGTACGACTTGTCATCATCTGATCACTTGCATACTGCTGAATATTGCTTATTTTTCAGTATGTCATAGTATAATGCAATTGTAGCACATAAGGCCTTTGATTAAATAATTAAAGCTTTGGACAAAGGGAAAATATGACATCCCGAAGAAAGGAAATCTTAGACACGTGAAAGAAAAAGGAAAAAAATCAGATATCACATTACCTTGCGTTCTGTCACAGAGATAGTCTATAATCTAGTGTTCTTAGGCTTTACAAGACGGCATGAAACAAGAAACCACTGTCTTTCTCTATAACAATCTGTTGGACAGAGTTTCACCACAGTTATTTTTCTATGAGTGCATGAAGTAAGAAAGAACAAACACATTTACTAAACAGATACCCACCTAAATTCTAGATGTTTTCCTGAAAAAAATCTCCTTAGAGTATTTTTACTTCCAAGAGCCCTATTATGAAGGGTAAATATGTGTATCCCCTCCTAAAAAGGTAATTACTTCAAAACATAACAGTAGTAACTAATCGGATATTTGCTTCTTTTGTTTTCAGATATACTGGAGATAAAATCTGTGGAAGTTGGAATCGTTGCAATCAGGGGATTGCACAGCAACTATTACTTAGCAATAAGCAAGAAAGGAAAAGTGTATGGAGCTGTAAGTATGCAATGCAATGTGTGTCATTGTGCATCAATATAACACTCTACATGTCCTGTAATATGTCTAATGCAATTCGCAACACAGTCCTTATTCTTTAGCATATTCTTTATAAAGTTAAAAGTCTTTTGATCTGGATCACTATTTTCCCTTTTAAACTATTATTATTATTAATATTACTATTACTATATAATTAGCTTGCCAGCATATTGCTTATTCTTGTTCTGTTAATGTTCTTTGATTGAAGCCAGCTCTGGTTCCAATCTGTAGATCACTGATCTGAAACTGTAGGCTCATTTCAGGTTGGCGAATGAGCCCCTTTTCAATTTTTTTCCTGCCCTTATAAAACAACTCTGTGAGGTTATATCGAACAGTTCCACCCCATTGCACTTGAATAATCCACCATCTCAAAACGAGCTTCAAACGACAGGCCGCTGTCTTCAGCTAGTGTGCCCTAAAAAGAATGCCTTCGGTAGGCAAAGAAGAAAAGAACCATTCCCATATCCAGCTCATGTTGGTTCTCCTCTCTTTCAGCATTAGGGAATACTATACATATTGCTGTCTTGTTCTAAAAGCTCTTGGGAAAAGTATTGGCACTTTTCGCTCAAATAATCTCAAAAACATGTGTCAGATATTTTTTTGTTTGGAAGTTTTTTTCGAACTGAAAAAATAAAATCAAAACAGGACGTCTTTAAATATGTCTTTGTTCTTACTTTTCTAAGATTCATATAGATTTTCATTTAAGAAGTAGCTACTGTAAATTAATAGAGAAAAATTGTTGTAGCACAAAAATGGGACTGTAATGATATTAATTTCTATGACCTTATAGACGAAATCAATGTTAAAGTTCAATATTAAAGTCATAAACTCAAAGTATTTCTCCTGTTAAACTCCACCTAATTTTATTAAACTATTCTAACACCCATCATATACACTGGCATGGTCTATATGATGATGCTATACTGTTAAGTGGTAGTACATTTTTATGTAATCTACATCTTACACAGTGACTGACATAATTTTAAAACATCCTGTTACTGAGTATGCTACTGGAGCTGTTTTTGAACTTTTTGAGTTGTACTGTTTATTGCTAAAAAAGTTAAATTGACTGGTCTTACTATAGCTATATATATTATAGCTACTATCTTGCTATTTTACCATCTAACAGTACAGTATGTACAGTACTACTTAAGCCTTTGCAATTAATTTTAATTAGTAATGAGCAAATGTTAATTCTCACTGTTGAACTAATATGCAATGGAGCTAATGACCAAGAACTTAAGGTCTTAAAGGCAAATAAATACTGGACGAACACAGTATGTTCTTTATCTTGTCGAGGTAATAATACAGTAAATGTTTCACTTGGATTTTACCAAAGGCTACTTGTTAAGCCATGTGTGGTTCTTCAGCATAGGCCTGTCTTTCATGTCAAAGTCTTTTGAATAATGTGTCATATCAGCACAGCATTCATGGGCACACAGAACTAGTGAAGTATGGAAACAGCTTGTGACTTCAGCAAGTAATACAGTATATTTTCACGCTGACAACTGACTGACTGACAACTGAACAGTTGTGTCCTTGAGCCACTGCCCACGTTTTCTTACTGTACCTGTAAATGTAGTAATTGCATGGAATTGCAAGGAGTTATTATCAGCTTCACCTTTCCATTGTTTATTCGAGCATCTTTGTCAAAAGAAAGATGACAACAAAATTTTTCACGTCTGATTTCTCCACTGTCTGTCTTTTAGAGTGAATTTGGCGTTGACTGCAAACTGAAGGAGCGAATCGAGGAGAACGGTTACAACACATATGCTTCTTCGGAGTGGAAGCACAAGAAGAAGCAAATGTTTGTGGGGCTTAGTGCGAACGGCACACCGCTGCGAGGAAAGAAAACACGAAGGAAAAACACTGCAACACACTTTCTCCCCATCGTGGTGTAGCAGCTGGGAGATGGAAAAAGGGTATCACTGCACTGAAGAAAAGATGGACCTGAAAAGTTTGCAAATGGACAGCAAAAAGGGCACTATTTGAAGACAAGAAATAGCCTAACCTGACTGCTTTGACTGCAGAAATTGCTTGTTGTGCTATATATTAATATATATATATATTAAGTTAACAAGACTGCGTAACCCTTATATCATTGCATTTGGCACAGGAGGAAACACTGAACATTTTCTGTGCCAAATATTTTATTCTGCATCTGGACCAAAGGAAAATGAAAGAAAGATGGAACCTGAACAGTTTGTGAACATAATCCATTCCACCTAACAACTTTGAAGGACAGGCCGCTGCTTAATTGTGGAATTTTTGTGTGTGTGATCTTTGGGGGCAGTTATTTATGGAATACTAACTCATATCAAAAGACTTTAAATGCATGCTCAAGCTTAATGATCCAACGAACACCCAGACACGCAAGCTTTTTCTGGAAGCGCTTGGGTCAGACAAAAGAGCAGCAAGCTTGAGAAGTGGCTGGATGAAAGAAGGGATAGGATTTAGTTAAACAAACAAAAAAGTTTGAAACTACTCTAACAAAATGAATGCTCCACTAAGATTACATTTTTTTTTCTATTCCTTTCTTTCGTAAATTATTTATTTTATGTGATATTTTAAAAAAAAACTTAAGTCTTCAACTGGAGATGCTTTCCTGCAGCAGGAGAAAATGACCACTTCATCTATTACTTCCCCCAGACTCAGAGAATTGGAAAGTATGCATATTAAACCCAAGGCATGATGTTTTTCAAAGTTATAATATCATGATGTTAAAAGAGCAAACGATCAAAGAAACCAAAGATTTTGTGCATTATGGGCTTATTTTATCAGATACAAAGCACAAGAGTCATTAGAACTAATTCTTTGACAGACAATTATGAAGAACAGGCACTTGCTTTCAAGTGAAGCTAAGCATCTCAAGTTTCACAGTCACAGAGTTAAGTTTTTTTTCTTTCTTTGCTTTTCATCTGCATATAGGCAGATGGGGAATCCTAGAGCATTAAGATGCAAGCTTATTTTGTTAGAGTCCATCAGAGAGTTCAATGAAAGAACAAAAAACTGATACATACTCACTTTGTATTCCATCAAGCTACCACAGCAAAGGCCTAGTTTTCAAAACTTGGTAAATCATTATGAAGATATTTCCTTCAAAATCTTAAAATGAAAAAAGCATACTACACACTAACACTGCAACTCACAGAGTACAGCCTATAAGAAAATACACATTTATGTTCTGAAACATTAGAGAAATGAACTGGTATACTTTAAAACTAGGTACCAAGTTTGAAAACTCAGGACTTTCTTTTTTTCTGAGTGTCACGTAGTAGATTTAATATTATTTTGATATTATTATATAAAATGATAACTCTATGAGATTATATTGATCCTGCCATCTTTCTTCAGAATTGTTGTTTTGAAAGTCTGTTTTATTTTTATTGTTTGGAGACTGTATTTTTTGGTACAGAACTGAGTTCTTTTGGAGAGTCAGATATATTTAAGTTGAACTTCTTGGATTGCTGGTTTTGGTTGATTTCTTATAAGTTATTGTTATGTTTTGCCAGCTCTTCCCTCTGTTGTTCTGTCAGCTCATATAGGACCTATACAATATTGCTACCCAATGGTAACTAGGATGTTGAATTCTTTCTACTTAAATAAAGGTCAATGTTCCCCTTCGTTGCATACACACTTAATTTAGAGATAGGTTGATTAGTTACTGTATACAACATAAACATCTGAACTGCATTTTAAAGATCCTCCTACCCTCCCTATTACTAGAATATACTTGTGTTTAAAAATTTTTCTTTCATGTTGGGGAGGGGAGCCTGTCTGTATACTGCATTATGTAATGTACCCCTGTGTTTAATTAAAACCAGACAAGTCATCTGTTTCATTTATTATTGTTTCTGGGTTTTGTTTCTTATTTAACTTAAACATTTAGATTTCTCAATTCCACAGTGAGAATTCTTCCTGAGTAAATTTGTACTTGAGCTGCACCATTTTTATCTAAAAAAAGGGAAAAAAGAGAAGATTTTCATCAAGAACAATGTACATGTATCTTCATGTTGGTACAGTATGCAATATCATGATATAATTAAGAACATTGCATTTTAATTGCTATAAAAAGCTGAATGTTATGTTGGAAAAGTCAGGTAATAAACTTTCATTGTCATGTATCTCATTATATCTTCCACCACCTTGATCTGGAAAGAATACATGGCCAGCAACAATTAATTGGTTTGAACCTTTTGAGAGTGATACAGTAAGATAAACCATTTAAAAAATCTATGTACTGTATAATCATTTTTTGCTAACCACAACCAGATATCATGGGAGTTCCCATCAGTAACGTCTCTGAACCATTTCTGTATGTGTAATTTTGTATTTCCTTCTGTGGTTTTGACATCAGTGTATTCCAATGGACTGTAATAATCATCATTCTCCCACTTAGAGATTGTGTCCAGTCCAAGCTGGAGCTGTAACTGGCCTTAACAGTATTTACCTTATGGCTTCAATAGCTCTTCCTAGATAGGTGAGTGTCTGTTGCTCAGGCTAAAAAATGTTCAAAGCTTTAATTTTGTGCCACTGTTGCACACACACACTCAAGTTCTTTTTTAAGATCTTGCATTCTTTTTCTCAATTCTCTTTATATCTTTCCAGTGTTTTGTTGATTTTTTTTATAAATCCATTCAATCTAGTTTTTGCTGTACCAAAGGAGAAAGGTGGATTCACCATTACAGGAGGTTAGATTATTCCCACAACCCTCGTTCTCTGAAAGAAAAGAATAGTCACTAATCAATTAGAAAATTGCTGATCACAGGGCAGAAAACTTACCGGTCATACCAATGCCACCTACTGGCTGGTCAAGTGAATGACATCCCATCTCCACTTCCTCTTCTGAGTTCTCTTTCCTTGATAAAACCTGTATAGGGACTACCAGGTGTCCCAAGAGGATTGACATCTACTCTTCTCTTTTAGGGTGTCAGAGTTATATGTGTAAGCTAACACACTCTTTTATTTTGACGTTCAACCAATGCTGCCACTTTTTAGACCTTCCTGTAATGTGGGTTGTAAGAGTAGTCAGAAACTAATCTAATCATTAGGACCAGGATGTCACAAGGTCCCTATGATGGCCACTGACTAAACTAGGGCCACATTCAGGGCCACAGTAGTCACAGCATAGATGTCAGAAAAAGAATGCACTGAAATAGGGCTCATGGTCTGGTCATGCCTCTAGTAGAATACTTTCTGGGAGGTGAAAGCCTGTGATTTTATAGGTCAAGGAAATTGCATCCACCTTCCAGGCACTGGACCACAGAGCAGAACACATCTGGAAAAACTACCACTTTACAAGAATAGAGTCACTTCCTAGAACATGCTCTAGCTGGATGGTAACAATGACAGAGCCAAGCACATATTTGACACATTCCCCTTCAGGGCCAACAACTTACAGTGGCCAAACTGCAGGATTCAGTTGTCAAATGGCGCCTCAAACCTATGTCAATGGATTGTTCCACAGCAGCATTTGCCAACAACCACCAACCAACAACCTGTACAGTTACAGATTGTTCAATCAGAGCCTTTAACACCCTGTCCTTGCAAATGTCTCGAGCCCAGAAATGCTGTTGTACACCAGCTCTGCAAGTTGTTAGTCTCTTCAGCAAACCAGGTTGCAAAATCTCGGGCCCCATTCTGAATTGGAAAATGGCCAATCATCATAATTTATTTCAGCTCCAGTCCTCTCCATTTAGCTGCTTGTTTCTAAAACATCACTCCACCAGGCTACAGCAATTCAGATTTTTTCATGCTGCTTCGAATCATATACTGTAACAATGAGAGATATTGGTGAAATGTAGTACTAAGTAAATCACTCACATATTCCTCAGAGGTCCTGTACTTGTTTTTAATCACTTTCAAATCAAAACCATCTAGAGTTCAAATGCATTTGAAATTTTAAATATACACAGAAAATAATTAATTAAATAATATTAACATATCCTGTACATTTTTGATTGCATTTCAGTTTATGACCCCAAACATTTTTTCCTACAGTATGTTACAATATTAATCTAAAATAAACTATCTAGTTTAATCTAAGCTATATTTTTTATGTTTCTGTACTTTTCTCTGTTGTGAGGGAAAGGCGGACAAACAAAAGAGTTGGCTTTTCAACCTTTTGATAGTAAACAGAGGCCAGAGAAGGTTAACTAAGGATGTCTGCATGTACTGTAGCTGCAGCAGAAATGTGATAACCTAGCAAAAGAAAGCTTTTAGGAGAAAAAAAGCTCAATCTGAAATTTAGTAATGTCACCCTTGTAACACAGAGAATTGTCTTTAGATGAAGAAAGGGTTCCTTGTGTTTTCAGCAATCACTTTTGCAGTTGTTGCTCTGCAAGGACCAAAGTTTAAGTCCTGGCATTTAAAAAAACATGTTTTAATCCTCTTGCCCCCTGCTATCTCTCTGCACTTAACAGAATACCAGGATGTGACGGTCATTCATCTTCTCACTAATGCACCCTCACTCATAAAACAACAAAAACAAGAACAGAAAAAAATTGGCTGTTTTCAAAGATGTGTTTTAATGGGTTACGTATGCGAGCAGGTAATTTGCATGTTTAATAACAAACAAATGCTTGCTGTGTTTAGTAAAAAATAAATTATTGGTCACGCTTCCTTTGAATTAGGATTTATGAAGCCTGCATAATACCTTCTCAGCGGCTACACAAGATGTTGAAACAACATTCATAACCCTTTATGACTATAGTTCAAAAGGTGGCAGAGACTCCTAGGAGGATTAAGCCCTTTATACCATTTTTCAACCACTCTGGGTCATTAAAAATACTGAGGACATAACACCCATCCCACTGGGTGGGATGCTGGACTTTCTCAAGTTAGCCTCTAGCAAATGTATCTTTTTATTAAGTCAGAGAAGACAAGACCAATCAGGCCAAAGCACCTTGCACAAGGATGCAACAACTGGGTCTGAATTAGCACAGCAGTCCACACCTCACGGGTAATTGCCCCAGACTCCCTAGCTCTCCTGAAAGGTTTAAATATTGGCATTTTAATAATCAACCCAAAAATGGAAAATGTCTTTGGTTACTTAGGTTCATGGGCACTACCACATTATTTGTAACCAACACAGAGCAAATGTAAATAAATGCTACCTTCGACAGTACTAAACACAGAGACTAATGCATTGTTTAGAATGGCAGTGTCAATGGAACCAGTCAACCCTGGTTTGAAAGTTCACTGACCTTAAGAAGTAGCCCAGGGCCCAGATCAAAGCTGTCCTAATGGCAGGGTAAATATAGACTGGCCTTGGGACCCCTCTCACACAGGTAGCTGCAAGACAAAAAAACAGATCTCTTTCTGCAAAGACAGCAAATATAGCAAATAATCACATCACATTTAAAGGTATATAGGTTTCCATATATTTAAACTTACATTTTCTTCTTGATTATAACTGCACATTTTAATAGGAAGGTCAGAAATTAAACATATTATTATGTTTTGATTATTTCATGTTATTTCATGTTATACCCACCTTACTGCAGAAAAGATGTGCTTCTACAGTACATCCCTCTCACTCCTTCGGGCTGTTCAATTGAAGGAGAGACACATGCCACACTGATGTCACTGGCATCCTTCTGAGGCCAAGGAAGTCACAGAAGTCACTGATTCTCCGAAAACTGAGAGCACTGGGAAGTTACTCTCAACGCTACCCCCAGCAGCTCTCTGTGCCCCTTGGGGAATCACAATCTTGGTGACCCAGGCTTGGATTTGCCATGCCTTGGGCCGCAAAGCTCCATCTGCACTTGGGAAAAGCACTGTAGTATTACTGGTTGAACTACTGCAGGGACAAGTTAATGTTTTAAAGTGGAACAGCAAGACAAAAGGACAACCTTACTGACTTGATAAGAATAAGCATTTCTCTTCAATATGCAACATTGATGCAACTTTATTTGAATCTCAAAACAGCCATGTATCACATGATCATACAGTAGGAGTACTGGTTACAACATTTCATTTTTCCAGATATACATTTGTTCATTACTGTTTGTTAAGACAGTTCACCTATTTCACTAAACTTCTTGGGATTTGGACAAACCTTTTCCTTTAACTGAGAAGCAAGTCAATTTGGTATATTGGAAAGCAATCCTCAAAGTATTGCTTAAAGTTTAGTTAACAATACATTAATATTAATGCTTAAAAAGTGAATAATATCAATAATAGCTATTCATCCACCCACTTTCTAATCGCTTTGTCCAGTACAGGGTTGCAGGAGAGCCAAAACCTATCCCACCAAGCAATAGGAACAAGGCAGGTTACACCGTAGAGGGGATGCCAGTCTATCACAGGGACACATAGACACAAATACACACCTAGACCAATTTTCCCAGAAGCCAATTAACCTACTAATATGTCTATGGACTGTGGAAGGAAACCCACACGAACATGAAGAGAACACAAACACCACAGAGGTAGTACCCCAGGTCAGGAAATGAAGGAATCCAGCACTGAGAGGCAGCAATGATAACCACTTTCCCACCATGCCACCAATAAATTATAACCATCTCATATGAATTCAACAAATGCAAATATGGTCTAGAAAATGTATACAGTATATAAACATCAAAGAAGAAGGATCAATCCAACCTGGTAAAGTGCTAAGTCAACATGAAAAGGTTAACATGGTTTGAAAACAGCTATTAAGTTTTTAGTTACTAGACATTTGGCAGCATGATAGCATTTAGATTCCTTTGTGTTTTGTCGTTTTGTTTAGCAAACACAACTAACAGGTGTTAAAATGATTTAATTAATCATCTGTTGCTGCCAGTTATTTTTGTAGGGCTGGAGAGAAAAAGATGTTTGGTGTGCTGC